TTTCTGTGATTCTGTGATTCTGTGAATTTAGTTTGACAGAACTGCATCAATATTTTTTTTCTGATCATTTTTCTTTCCTTTTCCTGCACACAGTTATCTCGCAGAGTGTATAATACCTTTTCATTCAGCCCAGTGAAATTAAATATGTTGTCTTAAGAGGCAAGAATATCAGACAAGTCTGCTTTTTGAGTCATGAATTTGAGTATATTTTAAAAGACAATATTTAGCATGAAAGAGGTGCAGTCAGCACCAAAAAGGATTATATTTACTGGATGTTCAGTGGACACCTGGTAGACCACCTAACATTTTGAGCATTTGGTGTGCCTTTGCTTACTAACATTCACAGTGCCTCAGTACGAGAATGCTCCAGCACAGCAGTCCTTCGTGGTGTGCAGCTTTGTGTCCCTCCTTGACCGGGCAGTCTCTGAAGCACTAATGAAACTGCTGTACCTCTCACCACAGGTGTCTCTCCTGCAGCCAGCACATACCTCTCCATGCACGCAGGCTCTGTCCCTGCCATGGGACTCAGCAACCCACCACACAGCAGCACTGTTGCCCTCGCCACACGCACTCCTATTGCCTTCAAGAATGCTTCATCAGGTTTGCTGTCTTCCTTTGGATGCCACTTACTGCTTTCTAAACTCTAGGGGAAAACTAAGTAATTCAGCTTCAGGGTAGCCTTTTCCAGCTTATGGTTCATCAAATAGAAAAGGTACCTGCAATTTGGCATAGTGGCAATACCAGAATTATTTCCAGGATCTGGTATATGATGGCCAAGTCTTGTAGTCATCACAGTAGTATCAACATGTCAGCTGCTGTCAACAAGGCTGTTGCCAAAGCTATAGCAATAGGAATGGACCTAAAAGAGAATGTAGAAACCTGTCAGTGGTTTATAAGCAGGGAGATAAATACTGAGATATAGTAAGCAAAGTATGTGATCTGGCTAACGAACGCTACTGGAGTGCCTGTTTCTGAAAGAGCACAAGCACTATTCGTAATTGTGTTTTACTGTAGGAACACAGCAAAATGTTTTAGTTTTTCCCAGTTCACAAATATTAATGCCATTTTTATGTTGACTCCATCCTGGATTATGCTTAAATAATGACAAAAAAATTTGTCCTTGTATATTGCAAAATTCACTAGTAAGTGGCATATTCCTAGATGGTTGCTGTATATTTAAATACACATTTTCTGTTTTATTTGGTATATTAACATAATTTTTCTTTCAGCAAACAAAACTCTCAGAAGAAATAAAAAAAACAGGGAAGGGCTGTAGTTTAAGATATTTTTGATAACATAGCCGTATGAAATAATGAACTTTACTTTTTAATGCTGTTATGTTGTTTATTTCCTTACAGGTGATTACAAATCAACATCCTTGCACAGCACCATCTCACCAGTCAGCATGCCAGCAAACACTGGGATCATCCCCACTCACACAATAGGTGACAAACTTGCACACAGTTATTGCAGTTATGATACTGCAAGCACAGAAAATGTGTTAGAATGAGGGAATTAGTTTTGAATTTCTTTCATCAAATTTAAGTATACAAATCAGGCATTCAACTGCATTAAACTTAAGGGTGTTTTAAAGAATATTATTAATAGTTTGTGAGTAATGCTAAAGATACCAGATCTGCTGCTTGTCAAGCTAGTGAAAAATAGAAATTCAATGGCATAGTAGGAGGGTAAATCTGCCAATTGCTGTGTCTGTACTTCTCTTGATGTTCACAGAAATTTGCCCAAGCAACAAAAAAGTATGAATACATCCACAGTTCTGTGTGCTTCACTGTTTTCCGGTGGCTTCCCTTTTGTTTCACTCAGCATTAACATTTTCTTGGGGTCTAATATTGCAGGCACTTACACATATTATTATTGCAATTGGGCTGTAAGGAATTACTTGGGTCAGTAAAACACATGTGTGCGCTTGAGCAGGATTCCAGGAGTTGGACTCTTACCATCTTTGTAACTGCCCTTCGAGTAGCTGTAGGCTGCTGTCAGCTCTTTGACAAGACAGCACTTAGCTTTTACTTGTGGGTCATCTGCCCCTAACCATCTTGGTAACTCTCCCGTGGACCCTCTCAGTTTACCCTCTCATTAGAGGCACTACTTAACCAGGTGACTCCCAGCCTAGAGGGATGCAAATCTAGGGCCTATCTTCTATGAAAAAAATGAGGTATCTGTCTCTTTTGATAATATTTATACCTTAGTATATTTTAAGTAATTGTTTTCAGGATGAAGTTCTTTGTTCAACCTTCCATACAGGTTTTCTAAATACCAGCTTGTAATTTCTTTTGGTTATTTCAGTGTAAAAATAGTTGTAAAGCAATCTGCACTGTTGCATAAATCTTTTTCCAAAAGCAAGAGTGCAAAAAGTAGGTAAATTTTGTTTCTTTAGTGACATTGGATACTGTTCAGTTAGCTGTTCCACAGCATATGTATCCTGGGAAACTGCTGTAGCTTATATACTGCTATGAGAATGTGTGATTTTGGATTATTCTAGTGTAACTTTGTATGCAGAAATGTTATTGATAACCAGTTTGATTTGTAGTGAATGATGTCATTGGAAAATGATGAAAGACACCTAACGCGTAAAATAACAAGTTAAAAAATGGGGTTATTTGTAGCTGATGTTTTATTCCCTTTTTCAAATGTGAGTGGAGTGCTTAATACAATTACTTTGTATTGAATATATTGAATGGAGAGTTTTGGGCAGTACCAGTCACCCTCCTCCAATGCTCTGTGGAAGAAAACCCAAACCTGCTGAGCTATACCTTAATTTTCTTTTCTTTTCTTATAGAAGCTCCCATAGTGACAACTGAAGAACCTTGTGGTAAGAACCAAACCCCTTATTTTTCTCAGTCCTGAAATGTGACCAAATGAGTAAACTGAAATATAGAAAACGTGTCAGTAAAACTGCTCAGTTAGCATCTCAGGTTATTTTATAAACTGTTTTCCAATTCTGGAAGAGTAGCATTAAAGTTATTAACATTTCTGGTCTTCTCATCTACATGTATAGTTCTGTTAAATTGCCCTGCACTAGGCTGTTGATATCAGGACTGCAGAAAATATCTGCCTTCATTCCAGTAGACCCTCTCTAATTTTCCCCCATCATGCTGATAATCAAATGCTGCAAAGTGCAATTCATAGCTGAAGTAAAACTGAAGTTTGGATATTGATTAATCTCTCTTCAGAATTAGAGGCCTCCCCTTTCTAATTTTCAGGAATAGATTATGGCCATTATTTACTAGATGGTTGTGAAATGCTTTGAATAAAAATTTTGAAATTTCAAACAATTCAATGTGTCAAAACAAAATATTTCACTTTAAAGTGACATTTTACATTAAAGCAAATCTGGTTCAGGAATGTTCATCTTTTTAATGCTTTATTTTTTTTAAATAGAGAATTATTTAAAAGAACATTTTCCTAAGGAAATTTTGTGTTTTGACTAAACAACTTTTTAAGGTAAAAGGTAAATTAAAAAATAAAAATAAAGAATAAGGAGCAGCTGATTTTGCTGTATTTTCTGGTTCTTAAAACACATATGGTGCTGGGATGCCATTAAACACTTAATGATTCTTAAAAATTGTCGTAAATTCATTGTTTGCTACTTTATCTTTTTCTTTCAGATGATAATATTAACTACACCATAAACAGTGTAAAAGATAAGAATAACATGGCTGAAGTTATACTGGAAAATCTGAGAAAAAACAGAGAATATATTATTTTGGAGATTGACAAGTCAATTGGGGGTTCCAACAACTATAAAATAGAACTTCAGAGATGCATGAAATACACACTTAAAGTTAAAAATTGTTCAGAACATTATCTTACTATTCCACCTGGTAAGTATAGAACGGTTTTAGTACTTTCTCTTTTTTTTTTTTTTTTTGACATGCAGTAATTCAGTTCTCCTGGTTTTCTTAGCCTATTCTTGTCTCTTTTCAGAGAATCAGACAGAAGGTTTTCATACTTTGTGCTTGGTTTGCAAGGTATTTTGCATTTTGAGGTTGCATCTTAAAACCTCTCAGTATTTTCTTAAAGTAGGATGTAAAAAAATTTAATTTTCTCATTGAAAAGGAAAAAATGGAACTTGAACTACCTTGGCCATATGCAGCATCGTTAACAATAGCAAGGCCAGCTAGCACTTGAAAGCTACTAATTATATGTATGTTTTTTTCACTAAAGAGATTGTTGGGTTAAAAATTTCAGTTATTATTTGAATACCAGCATTGCTTTGTCTCATGTAGGTTTTTTCAATTTTTACTTTCCATTTCTTGTTAAATTCTTTGTGTATTATACTGTGCCAATTGTATCTTCATATTGCAGAACAAGACAACAAATACAAAAGAACAAATTGCTATTTGTTCAATCTTATCAAGTGCTATTGCTAAGAATCAATATAGCCAATGTCACAATAACATATAATATTAATCCTTTTCAGACAGCAGCAAGAATCCTTTCAAAGTTCAGAATGAAACCAACTCATCTGCAAAGTTATGTTGGGAAAAGTCATTTTCCTGTGCTAATGTGACTGTTAGCTGCAGAGGTGAGACACTTCTAAGATATTTTAAAAGTTGATTTTTTTGAATTTATTTATTTTTAAAAGCAAAGTTGATGTGTCTTTTGATGAGAGACTAGCAGATTTAAATTAATTGTGCTAGTTTGAGGGAAGGGCTGTTCAGAATTTTTGGGATCACCAGGTTAGGGACTACCATCCCCACACACTGCAGATCTGGGTAAAATTCAAACCTAGAGTTCATTTCCTGAGTTTACCAGCTTCACAGATTGCAGACTTCTGAAGATTTTGAGGTCCTGCTTGATGGTCTGAAGGGGAGCTGAAAGTTTTGAAATCCTGCAGTCTGTGGGTCTGCTGTGAGCTGACCCCTTGCAGACTACCTGGGCATCTGGCTCTGCAGGCTCCTGGATCATGAGAGTTCAGGCTCTCTGCTCTTGAAGCCAGTCAGCCTGAGATGATGCTGGCTCAAAGGCAGCGAGCGTGGAAGGAAAGATATGGATGCTAGATGTCCTCATGTGTCCCAGAAGAATGCATGATGAGTGTCTGGGGCTGGAGATTTCATGGAGCTGAAGAGCTAAGAAGCCGCTCCAGGGGTCTGCCAGACTCCCATGAAAATTTTGATTTCTGTGGCAGTCCAGAAAACTGCTTTCTTAGAAGTCAAATCATATGAGCTTTACTGATGAAAAGTAAAGATCTATGCAAACTAAGTTGGTATAAAGGAACCTAAACCCTAGTAATTGGTTTAGGTTGTACACTTTACTGTTTGGAATATTATGATAGTTTGTTACAAATTACACTGAATAAATATGGTAGGGAAAATACCAGTTAAAATGGTACCACATACTTTTGGAGTTGTGAAAAATATTGATAAAACTCTTTTTGTGTCTACAGATTTGCCAGTCTTTACGGAATTAAATCAAACTTGCAAAATGCTGAACACTTTATCAGCCAACCATGAGTACAACTGCACTGGTACCGTACACTTTTTTGAAAAGGAGATTGCCAGCAGAAGCTTCACCATAACAACAGATTATGGTGGTAAGTGTAATACTTATTTTTGCTTTATGCTCCACATATTTCTGGAAAACCCCACTATGAATCACACTATCTGTGATTCTCAGGGTTGAAGATACATTTTGAGCACTATGCCCAGCTACTTTCAGTTTCTCCTCCAGTTGCTCCTGCCTGGTCTCCTGCCCTTGTGGTTGTTCTTTGGCTGCAGTCACAGTCTTTCTTCCACTCTCCAGCCCCAGTCTCAGTCTTTCAGTCTGATGCCTTCATCTCCTTCTCACAGAGATTGCAATTTTTTTTTTAATGGAAAGAAAAAAGTCCAGGCCTAGTCAAAAACTAGTGTTAAATTCTTGATTTGAAGAAAGAGGGGAGAATAATTGCAAAGAATGTCTCCATATAAAATGATGTTGTTTTCCAAAACATTGTTCTTGGAAATAGCTTAGCTTTTTTTTCTGAATTAAAAAGAAAATCAACCTAAATCAAGTAACCTGCAAATAACAAGGCCAAGCATTTAAAGTTTGTTAAAATTATATGGAAATCAAAAGACTGTGTAATATCTATAAATGTTGGACAATTTTATTAATTTGTGATATTGCTGTATTCACCTTTTCCTGAATTAATTAAATTTATGAAATTACTCTAATATGATGCTTTTACATATACACAGTTTATACCTATGTATAATTTATTTGAATTAAATAGACCAGAAAAAACATTACCTGTTGTTCGTATCTTGCTTCAGTATCCAATGAATTTTAATTTAATCAAAGTAGGTAAAAAGATAAATATTTTGCATTTTCATTCAAACATTTCCTTCCCTCCCCGTTATTTTTCTTTTACAACAGCTCCAGAAGCACCAGAAAACCTTACAGTAGTTTGTGATGCCAGAAACGTATCAGTTAGATGGAAGAAACCTAGCGACATTTCAAAGGGTCCTATACATGGCTATACTGTGACATGCAATGACAAAGGTAAATATATGCCCCTTCAGTATTGAATAATTCAGTGCACGTTTTAATATTTACAGAGCACCAAGAATGATGGACTGTCAAAGCATATTGGAATATCTTCAAAATGTGCATAATTCTTTTTTGTTTTGATACAAACATGTAAGTTTCTTTCCTTTGAGGATGTTCCAGCTGAACCATGGGGTTATTCAGTTTACCATTTCAGGGGACAACTCTGTCACCCTTCAGTTCTCATGCTTCTTGTATTAAGAATGTTATGACAAGACCATCAGTTGCCTGATCAGTTTGTGGTAGGGTGCTCTGTCTCAGAAAGTGCTGCTATAGCTGGTTAATATATTCTGAGAGAAGACAGAGACCTGCTTTCTGAATAACAGCAATGTATGTAAAAGTCAGGGGTACTAGGTACAACAGTTAGCATATGCATGTTTAGATAGGTAAAGGCAGGTGGTTGTCTTCTGCTAAATGGTCACTCCTTTCAGATATGCTGTTTTAGGCCACCTTACATTTAGATGAGTAAGTCTGTATCTATTATACAGGGACCATGTTTTCCAGGTGTGAGCTTTACTTCAAAACAAGGGCTGGAAAATGATGTTTTGAACATGAGGAGCCTGATACATGATTCCAGGATATATATGTCAGGTTTTAGCTAGTCCTGGGTTAATTCATTCTTTCTGTTCAAATACTGCATGTTTTGTAAACCTGGACTGCCACAGGAACCAAAGGCTGTCATGCTCATGTGCTCCCCAGATAGATACAAAAAATCTCTCCCATTCTCCATGCCCCAAATTTGACCATTACCCAAATGGGTGACAGTCCCACGCACCAATGTAGTTGATTTGGCTTGGCCAGTGTAGGAGACCGAGTTAGTATGCTGGGGTGCAGGGAGGTCACATATGAAGTAGCCAGAAAGAAACATGGAAAGGCCATTGCTCCCCAGTTCCCCAAGCCACCAAAGCCCCAGCTGCAGTGTGGGTAATAGCTTTGCTCATGTTGCTTCTTGTGCAATTCCTTTCTGTCCTGTTTGCCACTACCGAACGCACATGACATCTCTCCCGTCATACCAGAACAAACCTGCCCAATGTGCAGTGACTTTTGCCATCAGTCTACTAATCCCTTCCCAAGCTAAACACAGAAGAAAGTATCAGTCTCTCTTTATCAATGTGTTCTATGTCAATTTTTTAACTACACCCATTTAAATGACATACTGAGAAAGTAAAACCCAAAACAGAACAAAACCTCAACTTTCTACCTTTTTGATTGGTGAATATATTTCTTCCTCTTCCTGAGCCTTCACTTAGCATCAGTAAACAAGACAAACCAACCAAGTATGAGATAATTAAAATAGAAGTACACAACGACAGTGGTTTCAGGTAGCTCTGATGAAGTGTAAGTGTTCCTGTAGTCCTAACATAAATTTCATTAAATAATTTCATTTTTCATTTTTTCTTGAAGCGCCAAAATTTGTCAAGACGACTGACTCTATTTGCGATGAACTAGAACCTTATACCAGAGGTTTTGTATCTGTGACTCCATATACGAACAGCAAATATAATAATAGCACATTAATGGGAGAAACTAGAAGATGTAACTTTACAACAAAATCAGCACGTAAGTCTCTTGTCTGTACTGGGTTTTGGTGAGTTTGGATGTACATGTATATTGTTGGCTTCTAAGACTCCATGTTAGGTTAAAGACAAATGTGTGCCAACCCTTGTGATGTCAGAAAGGTCTGTGCATATTTTGGGGGCTATACTTTTAAAAACTTATCTCCATGGTCCTGATTCTTTGTTTGCCATACGTGTTCAATTGATAGAACTACAAGAAAAGCTAATAAAAAATTAAAAACCAACAGACTATGTAGATATTTTCCTGATACAGGCAAGACGTAACAGAGATGTGGTCCTTTTTACTTTGTTGGGTTTTTTTCCCCTGTTTAATCTTTAAATGTAAAGCCTCATACTGTTTTAATTCCTGCTTTGAGGGGGAAAAAAACCAACCCACAAACCAAAAAACCACCAAAAAATGTGTTTAATTTCTTCCAGTATTTTTTTAGCTCTAGTGCCACCAACTCCAGACTCAGCTAATATAGAGATACAGCTATAGGGAAATGATGTTGGTTTATACCTGGTAAGATACTAAATTAATATTTCCTTTAATTTCACTGAATAAGCAAAAGATTTTTTTTAGTGAAAAATAAAATATTATTTTTGTGCTAGTGATGTGATGATAGTTTAAAGTGGTGATATTTTTTTTCCCCTAGTGACAGGGATAATTAAATCTTTTGTTGCTTTTAGCTCTCCTGAAAAGTATGTAAAAATAGATACAGAAGAACATTAAATCTGACTGCTGTTTTTATTAAATGTGTTTCTGTGGAGCTTTGGGAAATACAGAGGCTTTTGGCAGACTATTGTTTTGAATTTGAATCCTATCCCTCCGTGGAAGATACAGAGCTTTTATATCCAGTTTTACGAACAATCCATGAAAACACTGAAATCTCCCTATTACTCTGGGTCGTTGAGCAAACAAATTTTAGCTTGTAGTCGGAAGAATACAGGGATAAAAAGTATCACCTGAAGAACCATGGGAAAAAAAAAAAGCCGATAAATTAATTGATTGATAATGTAAACCATTTGATCTGAGACTTAAGTGTAAAAGAAATTGAAAAATGTCTTTAATTTTTACACAGCCCTAATTTGAGCTTGATCATGATTTTTCTCTCTATGATAATCTAGTCTGAGTATATGTTTTGGAAGCCCCACTTTCGGGGGCTCCACTCATATTTTAATAACTCAGGTGAAGATTACAGTCCACAATATAAGTTTATGGATCTGGAAAACAACCTCAGTTCCCTTATTTGTCGAGAAAATAACAAGTTGCTTGCCGTCATGAATTAATGATATTTATTAAACCTTCTCCAACTGTTACAACAGTTGATAACATGATCAAGCAGACAGTGGAAGAGTTTTATGGCTTCTTGAACAAGAGAATATATCAGTAGAGAACATGTTCTTGGAAGTAGAAAAACCCTACATTTTATAATATATTTTTTCGTCTTCAACAAACACATTGCCTCCAGAAATGTTCACTTTCTCCTTGTTGCAGCTCTTTCAGTAGCATGCTGAATAGGAGTCTAACAAATCTGCCCTGTGGATGAGCAGATGAGCAGATAAGCCGTAACCACACACTCTGCCAAGTAAAATATCCTGCCACTCCCCACATGGGATATTTGATCGGGTCATAAAGCCTCACACATCTTAGCTCTTCATACGAAGAAAAAAGCAACTACCTTTTATTGTTTAGGGTTTTTTTTAATATGCTGGCTTGAAAATTGAAGTGATTTTGAAGAAAATTTCCATGGTGGTGTTCTACTGAAATGTGGCTAATGGAGCTGCTTTATGCAGAAGGTTATTTACTTTCTGAAAGGTTTTATAAGCTCTCAATGAAAGGTCCCTCGGGCTGTGTCCCCAGTCTGAAGCCCATTTGCTACAACATACTAAATTAGAGTGAGAAAACAAATTAGATTTAACAGATTCCTTATCATTAAAAAGTACAAGTTTTTGTGGTTTTAGGCCAGCTTTAAGACCATGTAACAATCTAAGCCAAAGGATACTATTCCAAATATTAAAATATACTGGTAACTCCTGGTAGGAAATTTCATTTACAGAAGTTTCGAAACACACAATCACACAGAAAACTATTTGTTCCCCTGTCTTGTCTGTTGTCCATGTTCCTCAAATGAGAAAGTGATGTCAGATGCAAGAGAGTGAGTTGCCATCATATTGTCTTTGCAGCCTGACTGTCAGTAGTTCTGATCTTCCCAGCCTTTTCAGTTCCACTTCACATCTTTTCCAGTTCGGATAAGCCTATGGTTAACTCAGAATTTATTTTATTTATCTTGTTAAATCGGCACTGAAATTTTTAAGGAAGAAAATGTACGGAAGTATTACAAGAGAAAGTAACAAACAGACATGAACATATACAGCTGTTGAAATGTTTGGTTTGAAATGATGAGAATAGAAGCAGTAACACTTCTTTTGTGAACAGAACCACAGCCAGTGATTGATGTTAATGCAACATTGACAGCTGATAATGCTGTCCAAATTAAGTGCAAATGTCAACACGTATATGGAGCAAAAACAGTATTTGAATTGACTTGGGAAAATGATGGAACAAATGACACCAGAGAAAATTACTGTGATTTTAAAAAAGAAAATCTCTCATACTTGACAAACTATACATTTACGGTAAGTAGGCTTATTAAATTAAATGTATGAAATATTGCTGTGTTTTCACTGTTTAAGCATATTATACTTTATTTTAGGAAAAAAGGTAAATATGGTGGGAGAGGAGTTAATCTATGGATCTGTAGGCCACGGACGTAAAGAAGTAGCTGTTACTTCAGAAATAAAATGCGTATGTGCCAAACCTATCAATCAATCCCTTGTGTGCTATTCCACATGGGTTCTGACAGCATGAAAAATACAAGATGAATAGATTGTTTGGGCTTGGGACAGAGAGAAATTAGGGGTTTCCATAAGTTTTAAAATAGCTTCTTAAGTATAACTGGTATTTTAGTGTTTAAAACACATTTCATTTAATGAATGTGTGACTGTCATTTCGATCAGAGGATGAATATGGGATTTAAGTCTTGAGGTAATTGCTCAGAAATAAATTGTTCAGAATTTTTCAATGTGAAGGTTTTTGATGCTTCAGGTACTAGTTAGTGTAAAGCAGTTCAGGTCCTTTCACATGTGCTTACATCAGCCTTTTACAAGCCAGGCCTTGTTTCCATACAAAATGCACCAGCCTCTGTTCACAAGCTTCACTTTCCTGAAGGCCTCCTACTATATTCTCTTCTCTCAGGCATTTCACCCTTTTGGCATTTGTTGCTTGCAAAGCCAATGGTCTTGTGTGATCCCCTTAATGTGGCCAGTAGTAATATATTTTATATCCTGATAGCTCATCTCAGTAACGTTTAGGTACGAAAGTAACCAGTAGGAATGGAGGAGTTTTATTACTTTTAGGAACCAGTTTCACTCGGTTTCCACAATCTTTTCCTCTTTTCTCTGTGTCTTCCTGAGGAAATGCAGTATCAGAGAACTTGAGTAGTCTAGGTTTTGTTCCAAGGCTTTGTCAGTATTTTTCCAACAGATTCTGCTCAGAAAGCTTTGTATTTGGAAAATAAAGATGAGGTCCTGTAGGAGCAAAAGATGCTTGCATTGCCCCCATAGTAATGAGACCCCTGCACTCTTGTAAGCTTTTTGTACACCACTTGCAGTGAGCAGTTTGCCTTACAGAAGAAATTGGCTTTTGCTTGGCTCTAAACCCTGCTTTCTGCTTCGAACTTAGTTTGCCCAATTCTTACCGGAAAGACAGAGAAAGTCTGATGGCCGTAATTAGTAATGAAAGAATTCTGGGCCAAGTTATGGAAGGTTCAAGAAAAAAACTAGATCACCTGTGAGAGTTGATGGACGTCACGATTCCCTTGTATCTGCACAATGAATTGTTCAGGAAATAAACAGGAGCCTACCCAGCATACTTTTTGGTTTAGGGATGTTTTGACCCTGAATGCTGCATAGGTTTCTGGTTTTCGCTATTTGAGAAACTTCTTGCCTGTTTTCTCTGCCACCTCTGTTACTCCTCTGGATGTTGCCACCTACCATGGCTTTCTTCCCAGCTGCAGAACTCAAAAACCACCAACCCCCTAAACACACTGGCCTTTTAGAGCAGAGGCTCCCAGTGGGAGCTGGGGCACAGTCCTCTGAGTCTTCAGGAGAGATTTCTCTTAAGGGATCCGGTAGGCTCAGTAAGAACTCAGTCTGCAGTCAGCAATGGTGCTGAAAGCCCTTTACCTCCCCTTTTGGATGATTTGCAACAGTTGTAATATTACTATTAAAATCGCTATTATTCAGTCCTGTTAGTATTCTCTGCTGTTTAGTATTAAATCTTCAAGTTTAATCATAAGGTTGATTTTTCTTCACAGGAAGAGTGTGAAATATTTGATGTACAAACTTCAAGCTGCCTATTAGATCTGACATTTTTATTTTCTTTTCTATTAAGGAAATTTAAAAGATTGGACAAATATATATTATGAAATATAAATGCATCTAAACAAAGTTAGTACGTTAACACTAGTTAAAGGACTCAAAAGTTTATGTTGAAAGAAAGCAGCTTATTTAAAAGTTTATTTTGGCTTCTGTAATTTAACTTTTCTTGAATAACTTACCATACAGGAACTTGTATTAAAAATAGTAAATTCTGTTGCCTATTTGTATATTTACAGTTGAAGCAAATAAATAATGTTTTATTACATATTGCATGGTTATTTTTCAGATTTGAGAGATTTGATTTTGATTTGATAAGAGATAAAATTGATTTTTTTCCTTGAGATACATCTGATTTTGATTTTGTAAAATGTGTCTCCTATTTCACTAATTTTTTTTCCAGTCATCTACATATTTTTGGATCGAGACTGTGCTGTAAATTAGGTGGAAACCTGAGCTCATTATAAATGGCTATACAAAAATTGACAGCAGGTCCTGCTCTCAATGAGGTTGATTCATTGAAAAGAGATGGATGTATTTCGAATATCCATTGTGCTTTGCTTTTTCAAAAAATTTTATGCAGAAATTTACTTGTTGTATCTTAACTTCTTTATTATCCTCACCCACTGCATGCAGATCTTAGTGTTTAATGGAGAACATAGAGGGCAGCCAGTAAAGAAGAGTATAAGAACCAGATGTAAGTAAATATATACAGCATTTTTACTTTCAGACTTTAGCATAGTATAGAGTAATAGAGTAAATCATTAATTCTGTTACAATTGATCCAAATTAAAAATGCATATTGCCTGTTTTTATAGTTAATAGTTGATCTGCATTTGAAAAAATAACATCTTCATTCAGCATTAATGTCATTGACCATACAGGTTACACAGGACAGGAGACAACCACACTGAACCAGCGAGTGAGTTGTAGCATTTTGACAGGTGCACATGGAGAGTTTAAATGAAGTTTTTCTTAATATAGAAATAAAATTTCCTCCTTTTCTGTGAGCTTAAAAGTTTTTGACACTTTGGAATAACAAACTTAAACTAAACGCTTAAAAATAATTGTTTAGTTCTTTTCACAAAAAAATCAGTAAGTTAGGAAATATACAGATTTAAAAAAAAAGGAAAAAATGTAATTTTAAAATGCCATTGTGTACTCAAGAAACAATAAATGTATTCTTTTTCTGTTGCTAGATAATTCTAAAGCCCTGATTATATTCTTGGTGTTCTTGATCATTGTGACATCAATTGCTTTACTACTGGTTCTGTACAAAATTTACGATCTCCACAAAAAAAAGCTTAGGTAAGTGTCACATTTCTCTCCCTCTCTTACATAAATGCAGGGGGGTGGAGGGGCAGGGGACGACTTTCTCTTTTTCCACAGCATTTTGCAATGGGTGGTACAAAAATGTTACAAGTTTGATACTTCATTAATACTGGGAAAAGACATCCTTTTACCTTTTAATCCTTTCAAAAACCCCTCATTTTTTGGTGGTTTGTCTGGCAATGCAAATATAATGAAATAGATTAAAAATCTGCTATAACCTTTCCCAGGGCACAGAAGAACTGATCTGCTAGAACAAAACGGTCTGTCACTAGTTTTGTGAAAAAATATTCACAAATACCTGGAAAACCTTTCCTTCATAATTTAAGTTAAAAGTAATGAAAAGAATACACACTTTCTTGGAACACTCTCAAACGCTTATTCACCCAAAACAATATCTCAGGGGGGCTTTTTTTATGAGTCATCTCTAGGTGACTTGGTAGTTCTATAGGACAGCAGATGGTGATAGAGCAATGGGTCATTGCCTTCCCTGCTGACCGTGCCAGAGCCCTGGAAAGCCAGGCTGACTGCTACTACTGCTGTGAAGGGAGGTGGTGCACCGTCTGAGGGGGCATTTGCTGCTGGGAGAGACAAAGGACTTGGGGCAATTTCTTCAGAAACCTCTCAGCCCTCTGGCAAGAGCAGAACTTAGGGACTCGTGTCTTCCCACTCCTTTCCACTCCCTGCTCTTTCCC